GACACACTTAGAAAGTCTCTGGATGAACTTAATTTTGTGTTTCTGGACTCAAATCAATGGAATGACAGTTCTTGTCCCAGGAAGGCCCTCAGGGCCAGATTTGACCTGAGGCTTAGTTCACTACACCACTGACAATCCGGAAATGTGGGCAGGTGCTGTGCCAAAAATCGATTGGTTGCCAAATGGTGGCCGCGGGAGTGTGCATGGGAGGACTTTTAACAAGAATTTAACAAGATTAGCACTTAAAAACAATTATTTGTTTGCTCAAAATTATATCAAAGGTGTGTCTCAGTCTAACTTTTCCTTAATGCACTTTCATGGTCAAATTAGATGCATTTCTCCCGGGCGGCGCGGCGAAATGAAGCTGATTGGACATTTGCTCCACAAGTTCTGGAGCGAGACAAAGGTAGCTTGGTATGGCAAGCCAAGTGTCTCATTAATAGCCACCTTTACTTATCAATGAGACACTTGGCTTGCCATATTAGTTGAGGACCCTCTAGTGGCTGAAAATGGTAGTGCTTAATATTTCCCATGTCAAATGAAGGAAATTGTCAGATCTCTGCCAAAAATTGGGTTATAAATTTGGGAAAAAAAACATAAATATATTGCTTTCCTGTATACGTCACAGACATCCTAATATATGCAAAAAGGTGCGACTTATACAGCGAAAAGTATAGTAATACCAGTACTACTACCAAAAGTCAAAGCGCCTTATTCTTGATCAAGTCTTAAGTTCTGATGTATAATTTGCACACAAGTGGTGCAAAATCTCTAAAATTGTGAACAAAATGTCTGTGTTGCACTGAAGCAACGCAGCTCTCTTAACTGCACAATTCAATTCATAAAAATGAAACCGTACATGCTGTTCTACATTATTCAGCTCCAATAAGACTGCTCTTAGTGTTACTTTACTCACTGTAAAGTCAAATATTTGTCATTGTGTCTCATACTTGTTCCCTACATCAGAAGAACACAATCCCCATTTAGGAATGGGAACGCCGGGTCATACTCGTATGAGCTCCTCCACCCAGCAGCCAGCTGTCGGCTGCACAGGCTGCTCATTCACATGAAGATAAACGGATCTGCATGTGGGGAAACAGTCAATATCTATCATGACGTAAACAACAGGCTCATTTATTAATGTCTCTTGTTTCTCAGTGAGGAATCTCGTAGGGATAGGGGCTGTTGTCTGGTTAGGAGGGATGATGAGGGTGAATGGCAGTTTTGGGAAGGGGTGGGGGTGAAAGACGGGGGTGGGAGGTAGTTGTGTGGGGTGGGTTTTGGATTGGACTGTAATCCTTTATAGTCCTGGAGAGAAACTGGGCTGTGCAGTCTGGGCCAAACAAAGTGACATGAACTCACACACAAATTCTTCATCATGACAAAATGTCTCCAGCAGAAACTGCCCGTTCTGCTGCAAGAAAAGGTTGGTTCTGTTTTTTGTTTTTAATAGCAAAGAGCTGAAACTGTATGTACTTTGTATTTGTTGTGTTTATGCTTGTACTGTTAGCAAAATAGTGTTTATTGAAGAGCTCACTGAAGGATCAGATTTAAAGTGTGCAACACTGTGTGTCCATGAAAGAAAAAGTGACGTCAGGCTGAGATGAAGGGAAATTAGATTTATGTGAGGAAATCTGTCAATGGAAGGTAAAGACACTTCAAAGATCTGTCATGAAAAGTTGCTTTTGGACCTTCTGAGCAACATTTTAACGAGCTCCACCTGTAGCTTGATCCCAGACTCTTCTACAACCCAGCTTCACCTCATCAGGGGTAGAAGCTGCAGCAAAACCATCACACAAGCAGTTTGACAGACGTGTGCAACATGTTTTAATGATGAAAATGTTCAAGCATTGCCCAGAAGTCTTCTCTGCTACGTTTACATTCTTTTGGTTCAAACACCGGTGAACTTACAGCCAAGAAAAGATGTCAGAGCAACACAGAGGGTGCTGGAAAGAAGTGAAAATCTGCTGCTAGAGAGGCATGTATAATAAACAGATGCTTCAAATGGGTTTTATATCAATTTAACTTGTTTATTTTTAAATAATGAGTTATTTATCTTTGTTCAGATCATCACAAAGATAAAACACACACTCCACAAAATTATGAATTTTAAATTGACATCAGAGGTGCTGATTCTAAGTATTTATGATATATTATACACATTACGTATTTTATAAACCTGCTTTGGCTCATAATTTTCCTCTAATCCCACGGCATCCTGCACACAGCGGCAGAGCTTAACAGAGTCATGTGTGGAGCTATTTCACGGCATCCTGTGTGGAAATGAGTAGAAAATAAAACATTGACTAATCACACAGATAACTGAACCCTTCCAACCTTCAGTAAATTTTCATTCATTCAGCCTTCATTTATACAGGCTAGTCTCATTGAGCCATGAGGACTCTTACAAGAGAGACCTGTAATACAGCAGAAAAGCTCTTTTTAAGTTCAATGATTTTTTTTATTTCCCACCACCATGAAAAGTATAGTTTTCACTTTTATTTGTAGTATTTCTTAAGAAAATAAAGAAAGGTTTTTGTCCAACTCAGACGGGATCATCACCTCAAACAGTATTTTATATGTCCTATCTTTTGGGGTATGTTGAATGTAGGCCTGTCACGATAACAAATTTTGTTGGGCGATTAATTGTCTCAGAAATTATTGCGATAAACGATAGCATTGTTTGAAATTTGACAATAATTAGTAATTATTGTCAAATTTAAGAATAAATGTTGGTTCATTTTTATGTGTAGTGCCTTTTTTAACCACTGGATGGCAGTATAAAACTGTTTGAACCAAAGGATGGATAGTGAGGGAGAGAGCAGCGTGTCTCTTTAAGAAAAATGGGAGGGAGGCCCATTGACGTGACATGAGCTGTCTCTCGTTCCTGTTTTCCAGTTCTCAAAATGGTGGCTGCTTGTTGTGGTTTGAGCTCTTTAGCATAGCATTTTTCTCACAAAGCTTTTAATAAAAAAATCAGTAAACAAGTTTTCAGCTTCTTTTTGCAGAGAAAATCAACTTTTTACACAAAGGCACTGGTTTCAACTGGGAATTTTGGAGCTTAAACAAGACGGAGGTTTTTTCCCAAGGTCGGCCTGTTAGCTTAGCTCATAGCTTAGCTTCTCAGCTTAGCTGCTTTTAACGATCCAAAAACATGATTTTGGACAGTTAAAACAGATTTTGAAGAGAAAAGAGAAAGGGAGGGGTCAGTGAAGAGCACCGGAGTTGAGCCTTTTGTCATCCAGTGTCTTCAGTAGAAAGAGAGAGACACGAAGAAATGATAAAGCCGATAAATGAAAATGAGTTGATAATTTTCATTTATCATGCGATTAATTGATTTATTGTTTATCGCGACAGGCCTAGTTTAATGTTCTAAATACAGATACATTTTTTAAGTTCGGTTATCAACAAGAATTGTAATTTACAGCTTTTATGAAATGGTAATAAAAGTAGAAATAAGTGGTATTTTGTATTTTCCAAATTTCCAAATGTATTTTTTTTTCTGAATAATTTCTTGTTTGTTTGACCATTTTTGCTTTCTTACAAGTGGTTGTAAAAGTATTCATCCCACCCACACCCTGGTATTCTTTCTATATTGTTCTATACAGCCAAGATTTTAAATGTATGTCCATTTTTTTTAACAAGTAAACTTATGAAAAAACTTGAATTAAATTATTGTACAATATCTCAAACAAAAGATGGTGAATGCATATGTTTCAAATCAGTGCTTCGTAAAGCTACTTTTAACCACCAGCTGTGGGCATCTGTATTTTGTTCAGTTATTTCTTTAGATCCTTGTGTTTCCTGCACTCCCAGTGTTTTCTTCCTTGTTGTCAGCTCCTGTCGCACCTGTCTCAAATCTTAATCACCCCAGGTGTTCGTCATTCCAGTCTCTTTAGTCTCCCTTTAAATTCAGTGTCTCTGTGTTTCTCCTTTGTCCGTGTATTGTGCTTTCCAGCCCGTCGTGTTCTGTTCCTCCATTGTTCCATTAACCCAAGTAAGTTGTTGCTGCCCTGTCAGCTTTTGTTTTGTTTGTGTCTGCACATGGGTTCTACACAAAACAACTGGGAACTGGGAAAATCTGACTCCTTCATGATCAAACTGCTGCAGGTTGGATGGTGTTGCTTGTGTCCGGCACTCATTAAATAGAACCAGTTGGATCAAGGTCTGGACTTAGACTAAACCAGTTCAGGACCTTTAAGTGGTTCAATAACCGGTGGAGCGTTGATTTAGCAAAGTGTTATTGTCCCAAAAGACTCAAACACATGTCAGTAATTTATACTTTGTACCATCTTTATTTAAGTTTCCTAGTCCCTGCTAATGAAAAACATCCCCACAGCATGAAGCTGCCACCACCATGCTTCATTGTAGCAATGTTGTTCTCTGCATGATAAAAAGCTTCATTATTCAGAACCAGTTTGTGTAGGTCTGCTAATTAAACTGAACATTTATTTAAATTCCAGGCTCTAAAGCAACTAAATACAAAGAAAACCATCCATCCATTATCTTTACCAGCTTGTTCCTTTTCAGGCCACGGTGGTCACTGGTGCCCATGTCCAGCAGTCACTGTGTGAGTGGTGGGGGGACACCCTGGACATGACTCCAGTCCATCACAGGGACACATAGAGACAAATGAGACAAACAGCCATTCATTCTCTCACTCACACCTAGAGACAATTTAGAGTTACCAATCAGTCTAACATGGGAGAACACCGGAGTACCCAGAGAAAACCCACGCTTGCACGGAGAGAACATGCAAACTCCACCCAGAAAGGTCACCTGGTCAGGATTCAATCCGGCAACCTTCTTGCTGAGATGTGGCAGCTCTACCCACAGCTCTACCCACTGCTCCACCGTGCTGCCCATACAAAGAATACCAAGAAGCTGAATACTTTTGCAAACCCCGCGTAAATAAATGTCAGGTTTTTTCCTCTAATCTCAATAAAACCTCTAATCTCAATAAATCAACCATGTCATCACTTTAAGACTCTGAACCTCAGTTGATGGTTTCCTGTAATCTTTGGCTGCGCTCTTCGATCCTGACGCCTCAGAAACTTGTTTGTGGCCCGTCTGTACTGCCTTTCGTGTCCTGCATGTCGGCTCTGCCTGAGGAGTAACTTTAGTTGTGTTTACTCGTGTTTTACCGTTTAGTGCAAGCAAAATATCTGTACGAGTACTGAAAAAAGATTGCAAATAGTCTTAATTGCCTGTGCACCTCCTCTGTATGTTCACTTGCAGTACGACCCAGATAATTCGGGCTTCATCAGCACAGAGCGGTTCAGGGACTTGCTGGCCACCCACGGGTCTGAACTCGACCCCCACAAACTGGAAGTCCTGCTGGCGCTCGCTGACGGCAACGCTGATGGAAAGATCTGCTACCAGGACTTTGTCAACCTGGTAAGATGCAGAAGAAAGCCACTGAGAGATGAGGAAGGATGCAGAATGTATTCAATGGGTCTTGTCAGTTGGAAACAATATCAGACCATTTTTGGACTTGGCTTTGGGAGCACAAATGTAAGGATTATTTGTCATTTACAGCCATATCCCTCCATTAAAAACATCCTACATTCAAAATTGTTTGCATTTTTTTAAATCAAATTTTCATACAAAGCTCCAGAATCTATAGTCCAAGATCACCTCGGCTACAAGGTGGGGATTTATCCTGAGAGGAAATGATTCTCAGCGTTGTGATGAATTCCGCTCTTTACTCTCACCTTGCCCCACTTTTAGTTTCCCCTTCAAACGGCAGCCTGACTGAGGCACCTCCATCTGTGCTCGCTGCCTCCTGGCCTCCTTGTTTCCTTTCACTTGCTTCAGCTCCACAGAGAAGGCTGAACCCAGGTCTGCCGAGTGCTCCTGGAGTACGAGTCGTTCTGTGGGGAACAAAGGGGCTGGGGTGGGGGTGGGGGGGGGGGCAGTTTTTTCCGGACTGAATAGAATTCCTTGTTTGTGTGTGTGTGTGTGTGTGTGTGTGTGTGTGTGTGTGTGTGTGTGTGTGTGTGTGTGTGTGTGTGTGTGTGTGTGTGTGTGTGCGTGCGTGCGTGCGTGTGTGTGTGTCCTGTTCATCTGAGCTGTTAATTATGTGAGACAGTGGGTGAGGAATGTACGTTGGAAAATGTCAAAAAGCAGTGAGAGTGTGTTACAGGAAGTGTGATGGAGACAAATGAGAAGTGTTCATCATTGTGGGTGTACAGTTGTTGTTTTTCACCTGCATCCAAACAGGCAAAGGAGGACGATTGTGTTTTAGCTTGTGTTGGTGTTTGTGTCTCTGTCACCGAACTCTTAAGCCTCTGGACAAACTGTGAGGAAATTTGCAATGATTGGACGTACATCTACAGCTAACTGAAGACCTTCAGCTAAGTTTAGTTGTCACGACAACTAAACTTAGCAAACCTTAAAATGGGGCGGCTGTGGCTGAGTGGTTAGAGCAGTCGTCCTCCAATGCAAAAGTTGAGAGTTCGATTCCACCAGCAGTCACATGTTGAAGTGTCCCTGGGCAAGACACTGAACCCCTCATTGCCTCTGATGTGTGTCCCATCGGTGTATGAATGTGATAAAATACTGAATATTAGTAGAGTGATGTATGAATGGGTAAATGAGGGCACAGATTGTGTTGTAAAGAGCTTTGAGTGTCTTGATATACAAAGTAGAAAAGCTATATATACAGTAAGTACAGTCCATTTACCATTTAAAATGTCTTTCACTGAGTCAGTTTTACAGATACTGACCTAAATCCTGGTGTGGTAGTAGCTGAGATTAATCCCTAATACATATGTGAACTTTGATGGCAGAAATTTTCACTACCAAAACTGTTTTTAAGACTACTGTGACAAACAGTAGGAGTAGTAAAACAATGGACCTTTGACCTTGGGACTGTTTAAATATCTATTATATGTAGATATTTGCTTTGATACGTCTTTTTTTTTTCAGATTGTAAAAGTATATTGGCTAAAGAAAAGTTTTAAAGTACTTTTGTCTTTTAGCTGTTGCTCTGTTTTTTTGCTTCTAGCCTTTTGCTATGTTTAACTTTGATTTAATCTTTATTACTTTCTGCTTTTAGCCATTCTTCTGCTTTTTATGTTTTAGATTGCCTTTTGCTACTTTTAGCTACTGCTATTCTGTTTTAGCTGTTAGCTGTCCTAATGCTATTTTTAATTTTTAACTAGTCTTTTGCTACTTTAGCTTTTAGCTACTCTTGTGGTCCTTTTGAGTTTTCCCTAACATGGGTCTACCTTTATTGTTTAGCTATTGTTCAGGTTTTTAGCTGTAACAACTTAATTTCAGTTTCTTCATTTCAGCAAATTAATTTTTCACTCAGCATTGTTTTGTTTGTTTGTTTGTTTGTTTTTGCAGAGAATGTAATTTGTCTACATTTGGTCATTTTCACCATATTCAGTAGTGCTTGATTGTTTGTAAGCCTTTATAATTGTCTATATTTCTGCATAAATCTGACCTAAATCATCAGATTTTCACATCAGATACTGCAAGCAAAGGTTCTCATACTTTTACCACTCACAAATATCTAATATTGGATCATTTTCCTCAATAAATATATGATCAAGTGTAATATTTGTGTCTCATTTATTTAACTAGGTTCTCTTTATCTACTTTTAGGACTTGTGTGAAAATCTGATGATGTTTTAGGTCACTTTGTATGCAGAAATATAGAAAATTATAAAGGCTACATGAACTTTCTATCACCACTGTATGTTATAAACAGTGTAAACATATTTTGCAGGTTCACAATATATCAGCTAAAGCTGCAAGTTCTGAGTGGAAAAAAGAGCATCAGAGAGGAGCATTCTGTAGACTGAGATACAGTGATGAGCACAGTCCAGCTAATCCACAAACCTTCTTTTTCATTTAGCGTATAAACGTTTTCACAAATTTTTGAACGCGTTAGTGGAATTAGCTTCCGCTAAATTAGGTTTTGCCAATGTTAAGTCTGGTAACAGAATTCATAAGCATGTTCCTGTCTTTTGTGGGCGTATCCCGAAGGCTCCGTTAGGCACACTATTGACTGTACACGTGACAAGATGTGATTAGTTGACGCAGCTTCAGCTGGAAGGAGACGAAGATGAGTGATGCAGACTGAGCGACACTCATCAAAGCAGTTAGCGGTTTAGCATTAACGTCTGCAATTTTTTTAACCTGTTTAGTGGTTTAGCATTAGCAAAGCTACGTTTTTATTTAGCAGAATATGGGTTAACTTTTTGGTTTGTTGTGCCCACTGTAGTGAACTAAGCCTCAGGTCAAATCCTGACCTTGAGGGCCTTCCTGGGACAAGAACTGTATTTCATTGATTTGAGTCCAGAAACACAAAATCAAGTCCATCCAGAGACTTTCTAAGTGTCCTGCACTGATCAATTGAAAGAACACTCTCTTTTTCTATTATCATTACTATCTTACAAATGTCTTGATAATCAAAGTGTGTTAGTTCAAACCATTTTAAATGTTGAAGTGAACTACTCATTTTAAATCAACTGTGAAAGTATTAATGAATTTTTAATCCTCATTCAAAGTAGAAATCAAGTTAAGGTCTGTTACAAAGTAATTATTCATTTTTCTTGATCTTCTGTCTGAAATGAGCAAGTGTAAGTTGGTCAAAGGTCAAGTTTCGGTCAACTGTAAGTTTACTGGAAAGAAATGTCATGTTTAACTTTTTCAGACAGATATGAGAGAATTGACTCCACGAAGTCTCGGTTCTTCATAACATCTTCTGTCTGTTCTTAAACAATCTAATCTTTTTCCCTTGACTTTTAATAACCTCTTACATCACTAAAACACACCCCTGTTTGGTTGATCGACCAATCAGGAAGTTCTCAAATGAACCGGAAACAGAACTCTTTAAAAGGTTCAACACTTCCTGTTCAGAAAATGCTGAAATAGAGTGCAGTAGAGTGCGGAGAGAGAATGCAGAGTTCAGAATGCTGGAGAACAACTGCAACTGAGCTGAACGAGAGAAGTTCAGAGGAACTATGAAGAAGTCTGTTCTGGGATGATCTCACGACTCCGAACGGTTCCCTACTATCCTTACGGAGACGCTGTAAAGCGTTGAAAGACAACTCTACACCGAGGCCGAACTATCGTCTGCAAAGGTAAAAGAGTCGATCTTCAACCGCAAAGTGTACCGTTGGTTAAGCTGGGTCCAAAGGAGCGTGTTGTTCTGGTTATGACAGACAAATTCCCTCACCCATCTCTCTCAAGATAAACCTCATTTCCATCTTTAAACTCTTCTATCTTGCTAGTAATTAATCCAGATATTTTCAGAAATGTCTGTTGTAATGCTTGAAGTGAGGAAACCATGGCCGTATGGTTTTCTAACTATAAAGCTAATTAATTAAGCTGTTGTTGAAATCAATTTGCCAAATTAATGTAAATGTGTGATGTTAAACTATGATTCTGTTAATAAATGACCGCATTCATTTGATGGGTCAAAGAAAATTAACGTCTCACGTCACATTTAATTTCAATGCACGATATTATTCAGTCCAGAAAAATGAATGAATCCGTTTAATTTATGGATAATATATCACAGATATATGTTCCTCTACACCACCACTGTTTCAATGGCAGTGGCTGGCAACTGGTACATTTTATAGCAACAAATGTAAAGATGGTATGTTGGCATGAAGTGTAGAGACACGTCTGGAGGGATAATGGAGATGCAGAGGCAAGGACAGACAGAGACTGATTGTGATAGGTTTATTTGGCACCGTCTCTTCTTTGCACAGCAAGTCTTCCATCAGCATGATTGTCAGTAATTGCCTTTCGCTGCTGCGTCACCAGCAGCATTCAGATCACGGCTCGCTCCTCTCAGTCTCTTCCTCCTCTTCACCTTCACCTCTTTCTTTCTTTCTTCATGCATACTCTCAGCTTTTTTCCTCTTTCTTTTGCTTTTTTCAGTTTGTCTATTTGCCTTTTTCTGTTCAACTCTGTCTCATACATCACTCTGAAGTTTTGCCTGGCTGGTCAGGGCCAAAACTGCCTCAAAGTAGCTTCATATTTCTGGAAATATCTGCACTTTACTGCACTGTTTTTCTTGGATGTTGTTTTTTTTTTACAAAGTGGAATAAATCAGAGTAAAATTGCATGGTTTGGACTTGTCTCCTATCTTGAGAGCAATACAGCTCTTGGAAGCTTATTATATCAGCAAATGCAACAGGTGATGTTTCAGCCTTTGTGACTACAAGTGAGAGAAAGCCATGTCCTGTTAGTTTTAATCAACATTAATGAACACTTTAATCAGGTCTTTCTTGTAAATGAGTCCTCGAGGCTCAATAGGATTTACCTGTCTAAATAAAAGTTGAATGAATGAAAAAACACAGCACGTAAAGAAATGTTTAGCTGTCTTTATGTTGATACTCGGACCATTATTGGAGTAGAGCATGTATAAC